TGGGAGTAGATAGTTTGTGAGTTCTCTCTTAGCCCTAAATGTGATTTTTTGAGCCTCCAAACATTGTGGAAACAAATGAAAAAATGATATACAATGAGAGGCAGAATGCCACATGATATTAAAAAATGGATTAAAAATAAGCAAAATGTAAAAATATCAAATAGGCGAAGTGAATTAAGAAAAAATACATGTGCAGAATGTATAATATAGTTCCTTTTCCCATGTGGCCTATTTTTACATTAGGGGACCATATTATGTAAAAATACATAGTATTTGGTCCTAGATTCCTACAGATCATATTTTTGAGATTGGGCTTTGATGATACTTTTTGAAGAATCCAGTCCTTAAAAAATGCTGCTACTCTTGCTTTACTGATAGAAGTAAAAAGAAAAAAAAGTGAGTACTTGAAGAAAGAATATTGAAACCTTATTGTGAGTTGAAAAATGTAACCTTCACTGTAATATGGCCCATAATCTAATGCAGATATGGTCTGAAAGCCTTGCTGCAGCCTCCAGTGTGGTCCACCTGTCCTTCGGGAAAGGAAGGACATATGGGAAAACCAGTGTACAATTAAAAAATAATTTGATCACATGCTTCAGCTTGGTTGGGTACTTGCTGACAAAACTCTCTCCTTTTCTCTATCAGCTGAAGCACTTAAGCACCCTCCAGTGAGGGATTCCCTAAATTCTTGGCAGAAGTTATTCAAAACTAATTTAGTATATTTAAGGGGACCAATTTTGTGTTTATCAGGCTCAAATAACATAAAGATCTACCTAAAGTTTTCAGGGCAACCTTTATAAATGTTGTTTTCAAACACATGTTCCTGATTCTCTAGGAACTTATTTTTTCCATTTACACCTATTTCTAAATGGAGTTACTAGATGAATGACCTTCATAATTTTTCTAAATCATATGCACTACATCATTCAGAGAATAGAAATGAATAATTAAAGTGATTTGGGGTTTGGATAAAGATGTTTTTGTCCATTAAAAAAAAAATAGAATCTGGTGCCTGGGTGGCTCAGTTGGTTAAGTGTCTGACTTTGGCTTGGGTCAGGATCCCAGCATTGTGAGACCAAGCCCCTTGTAGGGCTCCGCACTCAGCAGGGAGTCTGCTTCTCCCTCTCTCTGTGCCCCTCCCCCCGCTCATGCTCTCTGTCTCTTTCTCAAATAAAATCTTTAAAAAAAATAGAATCAAAGTTTATCACATTTTGAAAAAAAATCATCCGATTTTAAATCATCACCGTTGACTAAGTAGTTGTTAACACTCCTCAAGGGCCTACTGTTTTATAAAGGTTGCATCAGGGGTTTTCATATATCATTTTATTTAATCCTTTTGATAATTTTGAGTTAGGTATTACTATCCCTATTGTTTAAATTAGTAATCTGGGACACAGAAATAAGTGTTTTTCTTGTAATGAAACCAAGTATGCTCAAACCGCACTGTCCATTATGGTAGCCACTGACCACAGGTGTCTAACACTTGACATGTGGCCAGTCCAAATTAAGATGTGCTGGAAACAGAAAATACACACCTGATACACCTGACTTCAAAGACTAAGGTAAAACACTAAGAATGTAAATACTTTTTAGTGATTACATGCTGAAATGATAATATGTTGGATTTATTAGGTTAAATAAAAATATTATTAAAATGAATTTCCTCTGTTTCGGTTTACATTTTTATTAACTGCAACTGTTAGGAAATTGAAAAGTACATCTCTGGCTTGCATTCTGTTTCTGTTGTACCGTGCTGCTGTAACATCTGTGCACACGTTGGAACGAGCAAATAGTTCCATGTACAAGACTTGTGAGTTATGGCCTCCTTTTCACCTCATTCCTTCCTCCAGAGCAGCTCTCTTCACCTTGCTCTTCATGTTGGAGCCAAGTTTAGCATTTAACAATTGGTTCCATATCACTAAATTACTTGCTGTATTTCTGCTTAACCATTACTGTTGCGGTGGCGGTTGTAACTGTTTTATACTGATTTTAGGCTTTGCTTCTGAAACATCCCCTCAGCATTCAAGGGAGCTCTCGCTCAGTTTAACCTCTGTGCCCCTGCCGTATAATATGCACATACACACATATTCCCATCCTTGTAATTTTGCTGTAAACGTAACATTGTTTAGGTCAAGATTCAGTGTTTGTTATCATAACTACACATGCTAGCCGTAACTGAGCTGTGTATGAAGTACTCTCTTTATTTTCGGCACAATTTTTATTTATCGTAGGATCAGTAATTGCCTAGCTTTCCATGTTCCTGTCCTAATTCAATCTCAGATTCTCCACCAGTTGTCTAAAGTGAGTTTTGCATGCTCACAGACGCTTTTGAGGATGCATCTCCTGGAGACGTTGAAACTGCTATAGCCCCCACTCATGGTTCTCTCCTGGTCTAGCCCATGATCTCATTCAGGGATCTGCTTTGACCAGATCCTAGGATTTCCTCTGCCTTTTGCCTGTCTTCGCCTTCCTCTTTCCTGTATCTTCCTCTTTCTTGGTTAATTTCCTCATTTTGGTGAAGCACATCTTCAGTTAAGCTTCCTGAGAAAGGATGCATGGGACTTAAATTTTTTAAGACCTTGCATGTCTAAAAATGTCCCCTCCCCCTCATGTTTAAATGCAATTGGAGGTTGGAAACAATTTTCTTTAGAATTTTGAAGATATTTCTCTATTGTCTTTTAGTCTCCAGAGTTGCTTTGAGCCATTTGGAGCCAAACATTCACTGACCACTCCTTCCACCCACCTCTCACCCTCTTTTTAAAGATTTTTTTTTTTAATCTCCAATGCCTGATGTTTTACAGTGATATATGCCCTAATATGAGATGTTTCCATCTAACTTTCATGTATGGGTCCTCCTGTACTGGTCCTTTAATTTTTAATTTATTCTCTCTTATTTTTCATCTTTTTTATTTTTGCTGAAGTTTCTGAATGACTTCCTGAACTTGGTCCTCCAGCACTTCTGGTACTTTTTTTTTTTTTATTTCAGCTATCACTTTAATTTGTTTTCTGAAAGTTTCTTATTTTTTGTTATTGTATTTATTGCTTTATGGTTGCAATATCTCCTATCTCCCTGATAATAATGATAGTTTCTTAAAAAATGGTTTCCTTCTCCCTGCATAGTCTCAGTTTTGGCCAAGTAGTTTCTTTCCTGTTTGTTTTGTTTTCTTTCATGACAGAGTCTTTCCTTAGATAGCAGGTGATTCCTGGTTGTTTACTTGTATTCGAGAGTGGGGTATTAAAAAGATGGAAGGCAGTTCTCCATGCAGATACGGGGCTTGTGGGTGTTTGCTTCACTTTAGAACCATCCATCTAGGCTGTTTCCTTGGGGAATCCCTGATGTCAGTACTTCTAGATCCTACCTTTTAGGTTAGTCCAGTCCCTGAATGGTTTCAGTCTCCTATTTGGAGAGGCTAGGCAGTGTAGAGGGGTGTATTAGACAAGGTTCTCCAGAGACCCAGAACCAAAAGAAGGTATATATAATTATTGTAGGAATAGGCTCATGCAATTACAGAGACAGAAGTTCCATGATCTGCTGTCTGCCAGCTGGAGAACAAGGAAAGCCTGTGTATAATTCATTCTCAGTCCAAAACCTGCGAACCAGGAGTGCTGAAGTCTGGGGGCAGGAGAATATGGGTGTCCTAACTCAGAGATTGCAAATTCACCCTTCCTGCACCTTTTATTCTGTTTGGGCCCTCAGCAGATTGAATGATAACCACCTACACTGGGGAGGGCCATTGGCCTTACTGAGTGCACCAATTCAAATCATGATTTCTTCCAGAAATACCCTCACAGATATGCCCAGAAATAATATCTTATTAGTTGTCTGGGCATCTCTTAGATAAGTTGACATAAAATTAACCATCATAAGGGACATGCGGGTTGGGGAAGATGCCAATCAGTTTGTAAATGTTCCTTTAATTTTCTCTTTTTTCAGTAGGGTACCCCCTACTTTATGCTGTGCCTGGTGTTTTCCAGACCAGAGATCCTCTGTCTTACTCTCTCCAAAAAATAATTCTCTACGTTTCTGCAAGGGTGAGAGAGGGCAGTTGGCCTGGCTAAGCATAGTAAAGGGGAGTAGACTCTTGAACGATACAGGTTTGAACTGTGTGGGTCTACTTATACATGGATTTTTTTTTTTTTCAATAAATACAATACGGTCCTGGGGTGCCTAGGTGCCGCTCCCCCCCTGCTTGTGCTATCTCTCTCTCACTATCAAATAAATAAAGTCTTTAAAAAAATGTACTATACATGTATTGTCTCATGATTTTTGGAGGGCAGAGGCAGAGGGAGAATGAGAATCTTAAGCAGGCTCCATGCCCAGCATGGAGCCCAGCGTAGGGCTCAACCTCACAACCCTGAGATCATGACCTGAGCCAGAGCCAAGAGTCGGACACTTAACCATCTGAGCCACCCAGGCGCCCCAATGGTATTAACTCTTTAGACGTCTGATAGAGTGCATCTGAGCCTGTGCTTTCCTTTGTTGGTGGTTTTTAAGTGGCTAATTCAATATTATATATATATTTCAATAACATATATATAAAAAAGTAGGCTCCACTCCCACCGAGCAGCCCAACATGGGGCTTGAACCCATGATCCTGAGATCAAGAGTCAGATGCTTTGCTGACTGAGCCCCCCCAAGGCCCCCAATATTATATATATATATATATTTTAAGATTTTATTTATTTGAGAGAGAGACAGACAGAGATAGTGAGAGAGAGCACGAGCAGGAAGGAGACGGAGAAGCAGGCTTCCCGCTGAGCTGGGAGCCCAATGTGGGGCTCCATCCCAGGATTCCGGGATCATGACCTGAGCTGAAGGCAGACGCTTAACGACTGAACCACCCAGGCGCCCCAATATAATATATTTTTAAGACCAGTTTTAAGTAAACATTTATCTTGCAAATACTGTTATTTGATTATTCAGTCAACCTTTCTCCTATATATTATCCAAATAGAGATTTTGATATACCTACTTGTAACTTTTTTTCTTCTATTTAAAGGTCTGTAATTACTCTGGAATCAGTAAGCCATGGCGTCAAAGAAATTTGCCGTTAAAGTAAGTAGTGCTTAATATTCTTTAAAATGGTTAATTATTTTCTAATATAACTGAGTTCTGTGTTCATTGACAGTTGAAGCTCTGAACTTGCCTTCTACTCTAAATTAGTGTCTTTACTGAAAACCTTAGGTGATTGAAGATTTGCATGTTAAGAATGGGGGGGGAGAAAAAAATAGTTCATATGGTTATGGGAGTTTCTTGCTTCAAGTCTTCTGTAAGATGCCATTAGGTCATAACTTGGTCCTTAATGTTAAAAATTGTCATTCACATACGTATGTCCGTGACATGATTTTTGATAATGACAAAGCAGATAAAAATGAAGTAGGCAGCAAATGCTGCAGGTGGGTGAATGCCAGGAGAGAGGTCTCTTGCCCAGCTGCCCTCTTTTGTTTTCTTTTTATAAGTATCTCTTCTCTGTCCCTTGATGGCTGAGGCTGAGACCTTCTCAGGTGTGGGGGGAATGGGAGAACTATGTGTGAAGGGTGGTGGGAAAGGAGAGGGGAAGAATTGATAAATAGTGACTATGAGGTGTCTGAGATGCCTTCACCTATGCTGGCTGTTGAGGACATTTTTTCTGTGCTAGTGTTAGATTAAGTAGGTTCAAAACACCAAAACAGACAAATTACAATAGTTAACCAGATCAGATACTACTTAATATTGTAGTTATATCTTATTTTTACCAAGTCCTGGATTTACAACGTATTTATAAATTTCACTGCTTATCCACGTGTTTTGTAGTATTTCTTTTTATGAGAGATTATAAGTGGTGAACTTTCATCATTTGTCTTTCTAAAAAATGTAGTTTTGTCTTAACTCTAGAAAGTTGGTTATAGAAGTCTAGGTTGAGCATTATTTTTCCTTGGCGTTTGGAAGATATTTTCCATTGTCTTCTGGGATCTGTTATGGCAACTGAGAAACTCTGTAGTTATTGACTGATGTTTAAAATCACCTTAAAACTTAGTAGCTCAAAACACAAGCCATTTTTTTCTCTCTTGTGATTGTGTAGGTTGCCTGGTATCATTTGGGTCATTTCTGTTTTTGATGGTGGCTGGGGCTGCAATTATCTGGGACCCCAGTTCAGCTGGAACATCAAAGATGACATGCTCACACGGCTGTCCCTTGATACTGGCTGTGGTTGGGAGCTCACCTGGGGCTGGTGATTGTTGCCTGTCACTTCTCATTCACATGGCTGCTCTCTGTGGCTTGGGCTTCTCCTAGCATGGTGGCTGAGTTTGAGGGATGGTGTCCCAGAGCAAGAGTTGCTAGAAGAAAGAAGAGAATTTGCCAGTTCTTTGAAGGGTTGGGCTCAGAAGTCTCACTTGGCACTTATACTACATTCTGTTGGTCAGAGCACTCAAAGGACCCAGGCCAAGGGAAGCTGCAGCTTTTGATGTGAGAAGCAGCATGTGCCCACAGGGAAGCGAAGATTTATGGGCGGGGGGGGGGGGGCGCGCATCTGTGGAGACTAGTAACCACAGAAGTCTCTCGCCTGCCTCATTGTGATTTCTTTCTTGGTTATCTTGGTTATCAACTTTTTTCTTTCTAGCTGCTCTTAAAATTTTGTTTTTGGCTTTGATGTTTTACAATTTCACTATGAAGCCTGAAGCCGTAGACTTGTTTTAATTTATCTGGCTTGGGATGCAATGCATATCTTTATTTGAAAGATGCAAGTCTTTTTTATCAGTTTTGGAAAATCTCAACCAATTTCTCTTCAAGTACTGCCCTTTATCCTGTTCTCTTCTTCTGGAACTCTTATACTAAGTTTTCTGGGTAGTCTCATGTAATAGTTTCTTATGTGTTGCTAGGGTGATCTTAACTTGTCCAAGGTGGAGCTCCTGCAGGCTGTCTGCAGAGCTCTGCCAAAACTGGCAGTGGCCCAGTAGAGCAGACAGTTCTGGTCAATCGCAGGTTTTGGACCTGAGGTGCCTGGTTATGTCAGAGATGAGTCTCTTGATTTCTAGGCCATACACACTGATAGGGCAGATTCTGCTACCTTATTGCCTCATCTCACAGCCACACCAGCAAGTTGGAACTTAGCTCCTCGATCATGCCAGACAGGGAAGTTACTCCAACCATGAGTATCAAATTAGCAAGTTAGGGATACAGACAGCATTCTGACATTATGTGGAAGATTGTGTGCATCACGTTGTGATTGTCTCTGTGCCTCTGATCACACAGGCAGGGGGCCAGTTCTTCCCAATCATGCAGCTTAAAAAGCACCACGAACCAAACATTGGGATCCCGTTCTGAATGTCTGACATCCTTCCTGCCAGATTGTCTGTGCTGGCCTAGGGTGTCATGGGCAGCAGGGAACCCGCACACCTGCCACAAGTGCTGACCTCACGTGCCTTTTCTGAGGAATGCTGCTGCAGTAGGCTTGTAGGAATGCCCCTTGGCCATTAGCCTTTTCTTGTTTCTCTTTATGTCTCTGTGTTGCATTCAGAGTGCTTTTTATTAAACCTCTTCCAATTCGTTAACATCTTCTCATCTGGATTTAATTTGCTGTTTAATCTGTATTTAATCTACTCTTTAACTTGTTTATTTTTAGTGACTATATTTTTCAGCTGAGAATTTGTGTTTGGTTTATTTTTTTTTAATTCAAATTCTACCAGTCCTTTTTTTATATACTTGCCCTATTTTTAAAATATGTTCCCATATCCTTTTATCTTCTTTATAATTTTACAGTAATTTGTTTCATAGTCTCTTGTAGATTGTTCTATTATTTCCATTATTATTTAGTAAGTGTGGAATAAATTGGTGATTGAAATTGCTAGATTGTTCATGGGTGTAATTTTTAATTGTGTGCTTATTTTCAGTCACTCCTACATGTGCATGTGTGCACATTCATGTGCGTGCGTGTGCACACCCACACACACACATACACACTCTAGTGCAATTGAGCAGTTTCTAGTTTACTTCTTCTGGAGCCACTGGCATTTCAGTGGTTTTGGACCAGGCTTCACATTAATTTCATGGCTTGGGGTTCCACCACCTTGTGGGTAGTACAGCTTTGCAAGCCACAACGGAGTCTGGTGCAAGGTTGGTGTTTTTAGTATCTTCTAGTATTTTCCTTGCTGTTCTCCTTTCCCTTCCCTCGTGCTGAAGCCCTGGATGGATGGCAAGCTTCTGTGTTGCTTCCCTTGATCTGCAAGCAGTGATTTTTTTTTTCTAGTTGCATTTTCATGAAGGTCACAGTTTATCAAGAGAATGCAGGAAAAAGCTCTATAGAATAGTTCCTGCTCCAAGAAATTATGGACCTGTATGAACCATGTATTACATGAGGACATCTGCATATCCAGTACTTATTTATGTGTCAAGCATTGTACAAAGAACTGAAGTTGAAGTTCTTTACAGTTCTGGCTTAACTGGAATGAGTTCCTTCCGAACTTTTCTACCCCTTTTGGGCATTAGGATCCCAGCTGTCCGCTATCCTGGCTCCCACATATTCTGACTGCCAGGCTCAAACCTTCCAACAGGATGATTTTTTTTTCCTTCCCTCTCCCCACTTTATTGAGATACAATTGACATATAACATTGTGTAAGGTTATGGTGATTTGATAAGCATATGTGGTGAAATGTTTATCACAATGAAGTTAGTTAACACATCCTTTACCTCACATAATTGTTGTTCTTATGGTGCAAACATTAAAGCTCTACTCTTGCAGCACCTTTCTAGGATACAAGTATAGTATTGTTAATTGTAGTCATCATGCTATACGTTAGATCCCCAGAACTTCCTCATCTTGTAACTGGAAGTTTATACCCTTCGACTAGCATCTTTCTATTTTCCCCACCACTTAGCCCCTGGTAGCCACCATTCTATTCTATGAGCTTGATGTTTTTAGATTCCATATATATGTGAAATCATACGTATTTGTCTTTCTCTGACTTGTTCACATAGTATAGTGCCCTCAAAGTCTATGCATTTTGTCACAAGCAGCAGGATTTCCCTTTTTTATGGCTTAATAATACTCCATTGTGTATTTTCGCCACATTTCTTTATTCATTCATCCATCAGTAGACACTTAGGTTGTTTCCCTGTCTTGCCTATTGTGAATAATGCTGCAATGAACATGGGGTGCAGATGTCTCTTTGAGATAGTGATTTCATTTTCTTTGGATATATACCCAGAAATGGAATGGTTAGGTCACATGGTAGTTCAATTTTTAGTTTTTTGAGGAAGCTGCATACTGTTTTCCGTAGTGGCTGCACCAGTTTATATTCCCACCAATCATTCACCAGCCACAGTTCCACTTCCTCCACATCCTCACCAGCATTCCTTATCTCTTGCCTTTTTGATAGTAGCCATTCTAGCAGGGGTGAGGTGATATGGTTTTGATTTGCATTTCTAAAGGAGCGATTATTAGTACTGTTAGGGGTTTGTTTATTTAGGAGTCTTTTCCCAAATAGAGAACCCTCTTTTGGCTTTGATTTTTCTTTTTCCCCCTGTAGTGTACTTGTTTTCTATTTTATGGATTTTTTTTTTAATGATTTTCTCCCTTATATTTTCTTTGAGCAAATTTGCTCTTCTCTGTCCAGTTTAAGGTGGGAGCTTAAATCATGGAATTTGAGCATTTCTTTTCCAATATATAAACACTTAAAGCTATAAATTTTTCTCTCTAAGCCTTTATTGCTTTAATTATATCCCTCTTGTTTTGTTAGAGATGAAGTTAAAGTAGAGATTTTGTTTGTCAAATAAACATATTTTCTGATTCTCACTGTGATTTCATTTTTTTTCTCTTTGAGAGAGAGAGAGAGCAGAGGGTGAGTGAGAGAGAAAATCCTAAGCAGGCTCCATGCCCAGCATAGAGGCCGATGCAGGGGTTGATCTCATGACCCTGAGATCATGACCTGAGCTGAAACCAAGAGTCCCAACGCTTAAATGACTGAGCCACCCACATGCCCCTGTGATGACATTTTTGATCACTGGGTTATTGAAATGTGTATTATATTGTTTCTAAGTATTTGGGAATTTTCTAATCATTTTGTTGTTTGGTATA